CTCAAATTATCATTCTTGAATAATATATGCTCTTACGTTCCCATTCTAGTTCCCGCTCCGCGAATTGATAAGCTAAATCTGCTGAGTTAATTCTATAGACAAAGAGACTACTGGCAAAAGTTGCCTTCCATCACATATTGCCTTCCCTCACAAACACCTCCAGGTTCAATTCTCACTTGGTCGTTCCTCATTAATTCCACATCTGACACACACGTCGTCGCCATAGGAGTGCGACCTTAATCACGTGATGAATACATGTTGTTGAAGTGCTTTTATGAGCTCGAAGGAGGATTGTAGAAAATAGCAGGTAGAGAAACAAATGTAGATGGTCCGAGCGAGGAAGAATATTATCCATATGTAGATGTGATTTTATATATTATAAATATATGAACAATATAATGACTTTTTCATATATCCGGGTAAAAGCAGACAAAAATGATTGGACCTTTAACCCTGAACTCACTTAATCGACTGGACCAACGGATTAAACCGGTTGACAACCTTTGATAATTTGAAATCCATATTTTCTAAAAATTTTGAATTCAAATTTTTATGATTGAGTTGAATCGATCAATAATTGTGGACTTTCAAAGAGTGGTTAAAATTTAAAAGTCGGTCTTCAAGGTTCTTTTGTGACAGACAAGTTTTTCGTTTATTTATTGTTAGGTCGAAGGAAGATAAAGCGGAACAGATGGATGATGGGATTGTGTCTATTAATTATTGGGAGTTGCAGACAGAGAAGATAAGTCACAAAATGGGGGTAAATTTAATTTTTTAAAACGTATATACTATATGGTACGCGGGCATGTTTGATGTGAAAAATAGTAGAGGGATAGATTTGATAAAAATGGATAATAGAGTGGACATTTATGCTATTAACTCCACATAAAAAGTCAGAGATCGTATTGGTAGAGTAGGATTTAAGGTTTTATAATGTTTGTATTTTCTTAACTTGTGTATGTGTATCAAATACTTAACAACACCCAAAACAAGCCTATACACTAAATTATCTTAATATATACAACAAGAATTATTTTTCTGTGTTCTTCCATATTTGAGATTTCTAGGCATAATCTTTTCGTTATTCTCTTGATATTTAATATAACTTCAATTCCTATCAATTCTAGATGGCATATATTTTCTTCCAACTCCAAATTCATATCCAACAATAAAAAGTTTGCAAATTTCTACTAAGATATGAAAAAAATATACTACAATACACTAGGACGACTTGATAAAAAATATACATTAACTAATTATCCCTAATGTCATAATCAACAAATATCATAAATATTAATTTGAAATAATAAATTAACTATTTTAAAAATTCTCAATTATTTAAAAATATGAAGAAATTTATCAATATAAAATAAAACAAAATTCATCTAACCAAAGAGTCATGTAAAACCTAGTGTTCAATTATATGAACTTTTTGAGGACTGAAGCCTGCTTTCCCTTCTTCGAGAACTGTTTTTATTTTTTTTTTCTTCTTATTATATTGTTAGCTTAATAAATTGTTGGATAAACTTTTCCGATCTTTTTTCTTCTTATTATATTGTTAGCTTAATAAATTGTTGGATAAACTTTTTCGACCAAGGGTCGAAGGGAGCAAATCAGGTTAGTAACTCTTATGGTGAGTAACCATCAGTAACCTGTCCACATCTGCATGCCATCAACATCTCCTCTCTCCTGGAAAGTCTTTTATCTTTTCCCTTTTAATCTTTAACGGACGATTTCTCTCTCGTTTTAAGTCGAAATTTAAATTTTTTTCCACAGATAAATCATATTAAATGTGCTCTTTAAAATGATATCCACTTTAATATATTTTTAGTACAAAAAAATTGAATAATTTTTTACCAGTCATTATCATATGGTATGCTTATATTTAATACCATATGGTAAGAAAGCGTACAATGATGGTATGAACATACCAATATGGTAAGAAGGTTGAATACATGATAGTAGGAGTATACTAACTGTCATTTACGACTTTCATCATTGTTTACCACAAGTTACCACCCACATACCATAGTGGTAAAGTATGGTAATTTTTGGTCAAGTATTTTTTCACCCAGAAATTTGTAGATCCAATAGATCATGATGAACTCGTTCCTTCTGAGCAAACGTTTTCAAAAACGACTTAAAAACGAAGAAGTTACCATATGATATGTAGTTGGTAAAAAAAAAGTTTCTCGAAATATATTGAAAATTGATCTCATTTTGTAGAGCACAACGAACGCGTTCCATGTGTGCAAAAAAAATTGAAATCCGAGTTAAAACAAAGAAGATAAGAGCCGATTATGAAAACTAGGGAAAATAAAATGTCTTTAATTGACAACCCTTATATGTGAATTTTCTAGGCCCATTTAGATCTAAAGGTTCATATTTACCTTATCCTAAGCCACGATCGGACCCGGTGACTAGTTAAACAAAGATAGCGAAATAACCATTTTACAAAATTCAGTGATCATTTTGATATTGAGTCATTTAAAAATAAATGACTTGCACCAGCCGGGAATCAAACCCGGGTTTGTACCGTGACAGGGTACTATTCTACCTATAGGTGTCAAAACATAGCCCGACCAGATTAACCCGCCCGATCAACCCGACCCGCCACCCGACCGCAACCCGAATTGACTACAAGTCAACAACCCGTAACCCGCCCGACCCGCAACCCGATTGACCCGGTACCCGACTGACCCGCAACCCGATTAACCCGAACCCGATTGACCCGCAATCCGATTAACCCAAACCCGATTGACCCAAACCCGACTAACCCGTAACCCGACCGACTCAACCCGAATTTCATCTAATCTACTTGAATAATTATAAAAATATACAATACATAGTTTTTCAAAATAAAGTTTTTCATTCTAAACTTAAGTAAAATTATTTTTTCATTTCGTATAAGAAATTTAAAAAATATGAAACTCACTTGATATTACGTATGTTAAGAAAATTACCAAAATTGAAACATGAAGGTCACTTGAGATATTGACAATATTAATATAATATATAAATTAAAATTTTGGTTAATTTAACTATTCAATAAAATTATCAATTAAATATAAATAAAGTAAAGTAATGTATTTGGTAATTTGATGTTTTTAAAAGAAGAGGGAAATTTTGGTGTATTCAAGTTTTTGGGAAGAGAAAGAAGAGGGAAATTTGGTTCTTTGAATTTTTTTAGAAAATAAACAAGTGGAAATTTTTGTGGTTTTGATATGTGGGAAGAGAAAGAAGTGGGAAAGTTTGATTTTTTTTATTATGAAAGAGAAATATGGAGAGAAACTTTTGACTTTTCAACTTTTTGTAGAAGGAAAGAAGAGGGTAATTTGTTTCTTTCAATTTTATGGAAGAAAAAGAGGTGGGAAAATTGAGTTTTTCTAATGTATGGAAGGAGAAAGAAGGAGGGAAATTTTAGTATTTTGTGAAAAGAAAGAATGAAACAAATTTGGTGTTTTCAATTTTTTGGTTTTTCATAATTTTAGCTTGAGGGCATGACTAGTTAAAATTATTCTTATATGCTTTGAAGGCTAATATGTATATATGTATGTAATTGTTTATGGGCTAATAAATGAATTAACCATTAGTTACAACAATTTATACTAAACTTGATAAGTAATCTTTGACGGTTCATTGTTTAGGATATAAAGTATATGGTTAGGGTATAAGGTATAAGGTACATATGGTTTAGGGTGTATATGGTTAGGGTATAAGATATTGATGGTTTTGACGGTTCTAAGATTTTTATTAATATATGTTCACTTGAAGTCATTTGAAGTCTTTAACGGCAGGAGATACCTTTTTAATTTATGTTTATGGTACGTGGTTAGGGTACAAGGTATGTGGTGTAAAGTATAGGATATATGGTTAGGGTATAACAATTAGCAAATATCACTTTTTATCTAAGTTTTGAAAATCAAAGTATGACTTTCACTTTTAAATTAACTATACTAGCAAAATCACAACTCAAGGACATATGATTAGGGTATATGTTATGTGGTTAGTGTATAATGTATTGATGGTTTAGGGTATAGAATCAACAACATATACTAACTTAATATTGTTGATTGAGGGTAAGGCTAAGTGTATATGATATATGCTATTGAGTAAGTTATGATTGAAGTCACAATAATTTTACTAAATTTGATAGCTAATCTTTAAAGGTTCAATTTTTAGGATAATTCGAACAATTTTACAAATAACTCGTTTGGCAACAGTTTACTGAAGTTATTTGGGCAATGAGTTATTTTGAAATAACTCCTTTTATCACTATGTTTTTGCCAATTACCACACGCCAAATAGCAGATTTGCATGGTTATACTAAAGGAGATACTTTAATTCAATTACTACTGAATTAATACTAAAATATCAAATAAATAATTAACGATGTCTTTTGGTTGCAAATATTGATATCACCATTACTATTAGCTATAATACTTTACCAATTATGATTAATTACATAACAAGTTTGCAAGTCATACAAATTGATTTAAAATTTTGACTAGTTTTTTTCAAAAAAATAAAGTATATATATACGAGGTAGAAATAAATTGGTTAAAAAGTTGAGAAAATATTTTAAATTAGTGTAAAATGTGTAAGTTGGTAATGAGTAATGAGTTAAGTTACTTGATGCGCTAGCCCGAACAACCCGAAACCCGACCCGCCCGCAACCTGCCCGACCCAAAACCCAATGAACCCGCAACCCGATTGAACCCGAACCCGATGAACCCACAACCTGACTAACCCGCAACCCGTTTGAACCCGAACCGGATGAATCCAAACCCGATGAACCCACAACCCGACTAACCCGCAATCTGTTTGAACCCGAACCCGATTGAACCCAGCCCGAACCCGCCCGATTGACACCTATAATTCTACCACTAGACCACTGGTGCCTGCATCGTTAAGTTTTGTTATTTTATGTAAATAAAAAAACATCAAAAGCAAACAAGAAGCAGAATTGTGGACCACTCGACAGTCGACACTCCCTCACGTTGCAGTGCAGAAGCTTATTAGTACAGCCATTTCACGTCTTAATAGCCAATAGAGAATAATTTACACCATCGATTCAGACTAATCCCATTCCAACACTTAGCCGCTGCAAAGGTTACTAAATAATCACAGAACCACAACATATTCAGGATACATCATCTACACATACACATATAGGAGATACAATACCGGCCATTTATTTTGTAAGTGTATCAGACATGGCGAATGAGTGAATCCAACCCCTCCGCAGAATCGCCAATTGATTAGTTGGTACGGTCTGTGTTCAAGGAACTTCTAAAATGTTTCTTCTCCATTCGAGTTCAAGTCAGTACCTGGAGAAATCCTTGTAGGCTTCCGAAACCGAGTCATGATCACCCCATTCTTCCCGATATGTCTCTGGCCGTAGCTTCCTGTTCTCCCTCGTCGCTACGTACATTTTCTTCCTCCACTGTTCAGATCCAGAGGACCCACATTGTGCAGCCAGCCAGTCATTGTATTCAAACTGGTCAAGATCCAAGCAATGAGTGTATCGTTTCGGGATGTTCGAGGCTTCTAGTTCCTGATAATATGCTTTCACATCTTCCGTCATCTCTTCCTTGGATGGAAGGGTGATGCGGCCTGATAAAGCTCCAGCAATCCACTTGCTCTGTAATTCGAATAATGGGAAAGGGATAACCTGCACAGCAATTTGTGAGTTTAAAGATGGTTCTTTACAGTCGGGCAATATGGATATGAGTGAAGGTAGATGAAAACAGAGCTAAACCTTCCACGGTAAACCGACAAATGAAAGCCAAGGGGCCAATTTTGGAGGGAAGACTTGCTTGTACAACGGCCCGACACGATTGTCATCCACAGTCACAATACTATGAGTATCGAGAAACGGGAAACGATACTTGTACCTTCACAGATATAGAAGAGTTGCAACTAAGCATTCAATCTCGGAATATATAGTTGTTCCTCAGAAGAGATTATTCATATTTTGCAAGTACCCAGTACAATGCAGAATAATATCAGCAAGTACGACTTCCCCATTCCGAAAGCTCAATGAACCATCTTCATGAGCACTCTCTATCTGCAAAATGCTCCATCAACAGCATGATTTCTAAAATGACTCAATTCTTCAATGAACTGAAGTGTTAGTCTTAAGGGTTCCAAAAAGCTATTATTACCATGGAATGTTGATAAATATTATGATATGCAGGCATCTTTCCATATGTCTCATCTGCAACTGACCACGAAGCAAGATGGACCTCTTTCGCAACCAAAGCAATTTCCCTGGATATATCTGCAGCACTTGCATGACCCCCAATCACAACCACTACCTGTCAAGAGCAGTAACTCAGTTTCTGAGATTCATAACCAAACTCTCAGATACCAGTAATGGTAGTAGTCATGTTAAATTGCGAAATATGAAACATTACTTGATCTTGAAATGGCTCTGGAGTGCGGTAGTTGTGGCTGTGCATTTGCTTCCCTCGCCAAGAATCTATACCCGGAAAACAGAACATAGAATCCAAGCTCAAGGATCGCAGTGAGTATTCCAAAATTGAATCCAAGAAAGGCACAGAATATCCATTCGTCCAATTGAGATACTAAAGCTACCTCCTCTAAACCACAAAAGGGCAGAAATCAGATCCCACCTTACCTGGAATTTCTGCTACACGAGGCTCCGTGTAATGCCCATTACAAACGACGACAGCATCGTAATTCTCGTCGTCCAATTCACCACCACCGCCGTCTCCGGACTTGCAGCTCCTCGACCGGACTTCCCAATTCCTTCCCTCCGCCGTGAAGCTAACTCTCACCACCTCTCGCTCGAACCTCACCATCTCCTCGACCCCGAACTCCCTCGCGTAGTCCTGCAAGTAGAGCAGCACCTCCCGGTGACCGGGGAACCGCCTCGGGTCGCGGGTTTCGCCTTCGTCGGGTCGGGGCGTGAACGGGTACTCTTGGAAACCCATCGATTCCCTCGGGAGGTTGGTCCGGAGCGAGGCGTAGAGGCTGGTGTGGACTAATTTTCGCGTTGGGTCCAAGCTCATCGGGTCGGGCTCCGAATCGGGAGTGTAGACCCAGATTCCCCCGACTTGATTGTTCTTCTCGAACACTACGACCTCGTGGCCCTCGCGGCGGAGCTCGCGCGCCGCCACCAGACCCGCCGCCCCTGCGCCGATCACCGCCACGCGACGGGAGGACGGGCTCGGGACCGGAGGCGGCATCGATAAAGAATTGAGCGCCGCCGTTACCATTATTTGTGGACAGCGCCGGCGGATGGCCGCCTTATACAAAACTTGAAGGCTGCTTATCGATTTCGGAAGAAATGCGTAGTAATTTAGGCTTTTGTTCATTTGTCTCTTTTTTTAGATGAAGAACATGATTGCACATGGATTGAAGGAACCATCGTGCCAAGTATCCGATGATGTTTGGCGGGGAGATGGGGGTAGACCGGGCGGGAATCGTAGTATGTTCCTTGGCGGGGATCGTTGTATGAGATTGGGGTGGGACTCGGAGGGGTTTGATGATAGGTCGAGCGGTGATCGTAGTATGAGCCTTGGCGGGGAGTTTGGGAGGAACTCGGGCCGGCACTTTGGGGGGAACTCGGGCCGGCACCTTGGGTCACAACCAATGGAGGCGGCACTTTCCACCCCTGATATGGCGTTACGTCGGGCACGTTGGGCCTTTCCCGAACCCACTTGCTCTTCTTTCTCTCGTATGGTGGTGGGGAATCGGGTACATCAACTTGTACCGGAAGTGGCGGGGGTGCGGGCATGGGCGGATATCTACGATGATCCCGACCCTGAGCTCTGATACAGCCAAGAAGACTGTTTGCCATCCTCCTGATGAAGCTCACATCTTCATTGCCTAGCTCAAGTCTCCCGGTGGTCATATCTTTGATCCGCTCGATCCCATCAGCTTAAATCACAAAAAAATAAGTTAGAAAAAAATTTAGGAACCAAGTAATACATTTAATTATATAGAGCGGAATATACTTACTAATGCACCATCGGCCGCACCCTCCGGAGTCATGTAACGAACCGATGTTTGTCGATATCGATCCAAGTATGGGTCATGATACCCCATTTGACCCACTTGAGCTGGAGTGACAATATCCTGCATTTGTCGGTTCTCCCACATCGTGATGAATTTTGCCAACTTCGTGGGCCAATCGCGAGTACCTTGCCGACCATCTCGGCCATGAAAGGCCCTTTGACTATCGGGGACCTCCAACGGAATGCACTGCTCCCGACCAAACTGACGGAGGCATCGATCCGATAAGTGCCACTCCACGGTCCCAAAACAAATTAGAGGACCCTCGTGCACCATTGCCCGATATGACCGGGGAATTGCTGGAGATGCCAATGAACGATGTTCTCCGGGTATGGATCGAAGACGATCTACAAGAAAGAAATGAGTAACTTAAGATAGTCAGAATTGGAAAAATACATGTAGTCCATGGAAAAAAGATATAAATGGATCGAAGTATAGAAGTTATCTCTCCTTCCCAAAGTCGCTGAAACCTCCTTCGATACTCGTCCAACTTGTGTTGGGCAAGGTTGTCGTATGTTGTGTGTCTGAGCCACCTTATTAATAAGACAATAATGAAACTACAATAAGCTAAAACACAAGGGAAAATTCTAGAGAGAAAAACATGATGGGGTATGAGAAGTTTACCTTGTACCATAAGCTTGACCTCTTAGGGGATGATCGATTGGCCAATCCTTGTCGGGACGTTGGACCGGTGCAATCCATAGCATATGCTCCCAAGCCCAAAATCGGACGATGCACATTGCGCCACCGACCTCCCTCATAGCTTTTAGAGACGCATTGCACAAGTTGTGGTAGATATTAGCTAGGCAAGCGGATGCCCAGCTATACTCCCCCATCTCCTCCCAACTACCGAGGATGATCCTAAGCCATCCACAACTAAGGAGATTGCTTGATTTTTTTGGAGAAGAACACTCCTCCGATCATGCCTATGAGATAGATACGAGCATATCTCTCCTTCTCATCCTCCGGACTTTCCTCGGTTAGGGGATGACTCTCGTAATGGTCTCTAAAATACTTCGTCAACCAAGTAATTGAGACTTGGTGTTTCCTCATTGGTGGCAAGCGATTGGTCGCATCAACGCACCCCTTCACTTGTACTTTCACTCCCAAAACACTGTGGATGAAATGAACCCAACCGGGCATACCGTCACAATCCTCGGGGGGATGATCACTCACGCACACCGGTTTGTCGTCGATGGACAGATGGGTTAGGATAGCGACATCCTTTAGCGTGATGGTGGCCTCTCCTTCTCTAAAGTTGAAACAATGGGTCTCCTTTCTCCATCTCTTAACTAATGCGGTGATGAGTTGGCGATCAACTTTGATGCCGTTAAAATGCCTAATCGGGTCCAACTGTGCCCTTTTGAGAAAGGGCAAGATAGCTGGGTGGAATGGGAGCACATTGGTCGTACCCCTGTAGCGGAGTATTGTTTGTGCCTCCTAGCGAAAATTTACACGTTAATTATTATATATTAGTAAGGTTTTTTCCTTATAACTAAATTAATTAAATTAAATTATTTAACTTCAAGCAGAATTTTATTATCATAAAAGACATTTCATATATTTAACATAATAACATTCTAAATCAATAATAATTTAAAGAAATACATACATATTATCATAAAACAACATTCTAAATGAATAATAATTTAAAGAGATACATACATATTATGGTAAAACAAACATACTAAATTAAGTAAAATAAATGACATTGTTATTGAATAATAATTTAAAGAGAAACATACATATTCAAATGTTTGAAATTAATAAAATTCATTTTGTACACATCAAAATAAATCGTATTGGTTGTTTGGTAAATAATTTAATCGTATTGGTTGTTTTAAATAATTTGATCGAATACAAAGAAACACTCGTTAGACTCTTAGAAGATGTATACATCTTCTTAGAAATGCAGACTTTTTGACAGAAAAGGGGGGATCCGAGGATCTCTTAATACTCGATTTTCCCAGGGAATGAGAGGGTATGATAATCGCTTAAAACCCCATTTCCTTAGACGTGCATCTCTTTATAAAGAGTCAAGTAAGTGGCGCTATGTATTCGATTAAATTATTGAAAACAACCAACACGATTAAAAATTCAACATAAATTTATTTTATATTCCACTAAATACATTAACAAAATAAAAGAAGGAAAAATGGTAAAGAATTGTATGTACCGGGTGATCGTTCCAAACATCCCTTGACCGATGGTTGGGTTGGTCGTACAAGTCGGTTGGATCCAACGGTCCTTGCTCGAGATAATACCGTTGGTTGTATATATCCACGTTCTACCCAACCTACGAGAAAATAACAACGAGGTTAGTACATAGATTAATTAAAAAGCTTATAACAAAAAAAAAAAAATTAAACCAGAATAATGAGTACGTACCGCTTGAAATTCATCAACATAAACTCCCTCTCCTTGCCACCAATCGGCCATTTTTTCGGGAAATTCGGACAGAGATTCGGCTTGGCGGGTTTTGAGGAAAAACCTATGAAATGTTTTCTGATGGCAGATCGGACTTAGCCGCAACCAACAGACCATTATTTCCTAGACTTTTGGGAGGGGAGGGTTTAGAGAGATAATTCTAGAGAGAGAGTGGAGAATGGTTGTGGTATGAAAAAATGAGAGGGGGGAGGGGGTATTTATACTATTTCAGACCGCACCCTTTAGGGGCGGTCTGGTAATTTTGCCAGAGCAGAAACCGCTCCCTCCCGATGCGGTCTCCGCGTCCCGAGGCGCTGACCGCTCCCTCCCGATGCACTCTGCGATCCACGCTCCAAAACCGCGGTTTGCAAGGCCGCTGCCCACCCAACACAGACCGCTCCATGGAGGTGCAGTTCCTGGCGCAAAACGCACCTTAGAGGTGCGGTTTAAGTATAAATCGCACCCCGAGGATGTGTTTTATATATAAAACGCACCTCTAAGGTGCGGTCCATAAAAAAGGGTGCTATTAGTGTAATTTTTTTCGACTGAGTGCTATTTTTGTAATTTTTTTTTTAAATGGTGCTATTATTGGAAAAATCCCGCGAGTTTGTTCGTTTCTCTTAATTTACTTGCTAAGACCAACTTCAATGCTATTTTGCAAATTTGGGGAACCTTCCTGTTTTTATTATGAACCTTCATCTTTAAATTTGAGGATTATCAACATTTTCATTATTTTTCTTTAATGTTATCATTTCCTAATTGGGTATCTATCTTTTTTTTAGTTTTTTTTGGGTTAATAACAATTTGTACCCCTATACTATTGTAAGTTAACAAACATAGCCCTCTATTATTATTTCGCACAAACATACCCCTCTATTATCAAAATGTAACTAATTCAACCTTCCATCCAAAATTCTGTTAATTGACTGTTAAATAAGGTATAAAATGACCAAATTACCCCTCACTTGTTAAATAATTATTTACTGAAAAAAACATAAAAATAACTTTATTATCTTTATTTTCCCTTTCCCATGTACCCCCTCTTATCCGCTGCTCCCCTGCTCTTTCTTCGACGACTTCTCCATATCACTTCTCTCTCTCTCTCCCTCTCTCTATCTGAGTCTAATTCAATGGCAGATGCAAAATTAATTGTATTTCTACACTACATAAAATATATATTGCCTAGAATTAATCAAAGGAAGTCTTGGAAATTACTAATTAGCGATAAAAAGAAGATTAAATAGAGAGATACAGCGAGAGAATTACAGATGGAGTTAGAGAGAGAAAAAGATATTGGCTTCCGTTTTTTCTCTTGACCTTCCTCCCATAGAGCTCTCCTAACAAATTCAATCTTCATTAAATATAATGGGAACAATACACTGATCCGCACTCTGCTGGTCTGAAGTATTAGAGAGCTTCTTAGATCAATCGAATTCAACAACGACGACGACCTCCACGGATTTATTGGCGGGAGGAGGAAAAGGGCTAATCGGGATATATGATTGGTAAACCCAAAGGACAACTGTTGTTGCGACTCCAGAATATCAGCTTGTTGGCCGCCACCGAGTCAACCGAGTGATCTGCCACCGCCATAAACTCAATCCCACCTGCACTGTCGCCTCCAATCTGATGATCGACCTCGGAGGCGCTGGAGTTGGAATGGAAGGCGCCTTGGTAGCAGGGGCTCAAGAACAACAATCGTCTTCAGAATAAACAAAAAAGTTCAATAACTGTTGACCCGAAAATAAATTAAAAGAGGAATTGATGAGTAATTTCCACTTCAAAATAACGGCGACTAGACGGAAAATCATATAAAAGGGCACATTTG